TGCCCTCAGCCCGCCTAGACAGCATTTTAATGAAAAATTTGCATGAGGGCAATGCCAAAATTATCAAACTTGTATGTTTATCAAATGCATAGATTTGATATTTATTGGATGACCAAATCAGGATTTTTTTAATGTCAACAGACTAGAAGCAATCTTATAAAATAAAACTTAATACAGACACATGTAAAGTCCTACCAAAAAATATTCTATTAAAGAATTTAGAGAGTATGACTTTAAGAACGGAGACAGCATGAACAAAACAATTCAACAATTTTAGTTGACAAGGAAACCAGTAGTAAAACAGGTATCATATATACATAGTACTTGGATGCCCCAACCCATTCTAAGTGACTTACGTATATACATTAATTATCTTCAGAATTGTATAAGATAGTCACTATTATTAACCCCATATTAGAGATGAGGAGACTTAGGCCCAGAGTGTTTACATAATTTACTCAAGGTTACCCAGCTGATAAACTGCAGAGTTAGGATCTAAACACAGGAAGGCTAGCCCCAAAGTTAATCTTCTTAACTAGTAAACTATTATAAGTTAACAGTGTAATGTGGTTGCCAAAGAAGCAAGTCTACTCTTAAAGTACATGCTTTAAAATCAGAGAGGTAACTTACAGTCTTCTATGCTAGTGAATACCTAATTTGGGGTACCATTCTTGTCAGAAGAATGTGGATGAACTAAACAAATTCACAAGTGGGCTATGAGTTCTGTGAGGAGATGCAAACGAAAACAATGACACAAAAGTCACTTACAGAGGTTAAAGACTGATAATATTTTCTAGAGAAGAAAACACTCAGTGGAATGTAAGTATCTTCAAATAGTTGAAAACCCACAATACAGAAGAGACAGTGAGGACACAATTTCTAGTTCAGTGAAAGAAATAATTTTATAAAAATTAGAGTTGTCCAAACATGGCGAGGTGTGTGCCTACAACCCCAGCTACTTGGGAGGGTGAGGTGGGAGGATCACTTGAGCCCAGGAGTTCCAGACAAGCTTCAGCAACATAGAGAAATCCTGTCTCAAAAATAAATAAATAAATAAATAGAATTGACCGAACATCTTTATCTCAGAAACTATGACACTATAGTCTCTCCAAAAAATATACAAATGTGTATAATTTTGCATAATATTTCCAAGAGTTCACAAGCCTACTTTCATATCTATTCATGCCGCACACCTAGTCATGTATCCCAGATTAAAATGGAAAGGATTTATGTATGAAGAGGTGAGTGTATTCGATTCTCTTTAAAATCCACTACAATTTAAAATTCTATGATCTAAAAGAACGCTCAATCTATGCTTTCTAGTTTCTTCTGAGATCCATTATAACACATATTGCAATAAGAGTTTAAAAGATGATGACAAGGAAGTACATCCCAGTTCAGTTATGTTGAGGGCACACAGCTCAGACAGTTAAGAATTTTGGCTGCAAGAGAAAAACTTCCATGTGCCACTTGGACTACATATTCACAAAAGTCGGGGTGGGAGGAATTACATGATCACAAAATGAGAATATGAAGTATTGCACACTAGAAAAATTCACCTTTCTTTTTTAAACACCTAGAAATGAAGAGAACTGAAAAGTTAAGAGTTCAGTAAATCTTGGACCTTTATTAACAAATGTAAGTGCCACAGTGCTGAAACTGCAACTGCACAGTCAGAACAACGCTACAGACACCATGTCTACTCTTAGACTAGACTAGTTACAGGCACTAGATGTTCTAATAAACAGCAAACACATCCAGAGCCAGTACATAAGTGTGACAGAATCTGGGGTCTAGGCATTTGATTTTTCTCCTGGTGCTGAGAATGGACACTGCCATTAAAGATTATAGTAATCTGATAGTGATAAAGGTTTAGCTAAATAACAGGCTAACCAATGAAATGGAAAAGGAAGCTGCAATATAGATCAATTAAACTATTTTTATATTTACTTTTAAGGAGAGACAGGGTCATGATTATGCCATATAGAAAATAGATGAATATATACTGACGAGCTGGAAAGAAAAAAACCAAGTAAATAACTTTATTTATTAGGTGGAGATAAATTCAAGCCATTAAGAGAAAACACATGGCCCAGAAAAAAAAAAATAGGTTGTGAAAGTCAAATGAAAAGATACAAAACTCAGATCTCGGGGAGAGAGGGGAAGGAGAAGGCTGTTAAAAGACAGCCTTGCTGAAAGAGAGCAAATAAGTGAGACAGTGAGTCTATGCCCTCTGAGATGGAATGAGGAAAAGATAAAAGTATTCATGGGCTCAAAGGTAGCTTCAGCAGTGAATATGGAAAAGGAATGAACCTGTTCACTGTCTCAACACTAAAAGGGAAATAATATAGGGTCTTTTTCTAAACCAGCATCCACGGCAAGTGCCTAACTAATACAAGACATTTAATACGTGGAGAATTTTCTTACGATTGCATTCCATACATTAGTTCATTCACTCCCTGAAACACACCGAATAGGTGGATGCATCTAATTTACAGATGGAGAAACCGAGATCACACAATAGAATATAGCACAGGCTGGTAAGAGAGACTGGGGCGCTCATCCACTTCGTTGTACTGTCTCTCAGCGAGATCCTGGGAAAACCCTTACACTTCTTTGTGAAGAGAGACCTTGGTTTCCAGATTTTCTCAAAGGAGTCTGGGCCCAAAAAGCGATCCTCTACTTCAGAGAAAAGTTCCTTTATGGGGCATATGAGGTTCTTCAAGCGCACAAAGCTTAGAAACTCTTTTTAAAAACAAACAAACACCTGGTGGAGACAGAGGCGTGTGAGTCATGAAAGGAGGAGGGAAAAATCGGAAAACCAGATTTAGAAGCCATCCTTCTTTGAAGAGAAGGAGAAAGTAGAAAGCAGCCCTTCCCCTCTTCTACGAGGCGTGACTCAGGGACGTTACCTCCCCCGATTTGCTCTATGCACTAAGAGGGTGACCCTCTCTGGCTTTCGACTCCGGCCCAGACACTCACGGGTTACCCGGCCAGGCCTGGAGAACCCGGGTCTAAACAGATGGGACTCGTGTGGGGGACAAGGGGGCCCCTGGGCGCAGGGAGGGAAACCTGCCCAGGAACGCGCTCGGCCGGGTCCAAAGGCCCTCGGCGCGCGGGCCCGCGCCCTCTCCCTAGACCTTACCGCCTTCGGCTGCAGAAGAACTGGCGGTCAAGCGAGGGTGTCGGGCCGAGCAGGGAGCGCGTCTTCGGGCGCCGCCGCTTCTGTGGCGCCCGCGCTAGGCGGCGGCCGGGTCCTGGTGGACTCACACCCGGGGAGACGCGGCCTGCCCGGTCAAGGCCCAGGAGTTTAAGGCCCCGGAACGCCGACCGTGCGCGCGCCCTTGAGCCTGCCCAAAGAGTAAGGGTCAGGGCGCGCCCCGCGGGCCGTGCAGTAGCAGTAGCGCCGCAGCCGAGATCGCTGCCGATTTCGTCCGCCCTCTCCCTGCCCAGCTACAGCCCCTCTTCCCCCGCGCGAGCTTTGGCGGCGGAGCAGCACGGTGCGCGCCGATTGGCCCTCGGGATGTGCGACGCCAGGCGCCGCTCCCCACGGATTGGCCGGGCCGGCAGTGCGTGCAAGGAGTAAACAAACCCCGCCCCCAGGCTTCTCTTGGAGAGTAGGGGGCCACCAGATGGAGGGGCGGGCCTCGTGCACTCAGCCACCGCCCCTTGGTTCCCCCTGTGGCCTCCCTGGGAGCCCTCCCGCAGGACCCGACCACCCCGCTTCCCCGCCGCCTCCAGGGACAGCTGCGGGCCTGAGGCCTAGAATTTTAGGCACACTTCCTTTATCCCTCCTGTCTCATACCCCCTACTCCCACCCTGCGACTTGGGTGGGAATCTCTTTTCCAACTGACCCCGAAGCCGGAAAACCCCAGCTCTCTTGGAAAGAGGGGGACTGGGCAGTTCCATCTCGGTCCCCAGGCCTTTGCCGGGTCGCCCTGGGGAAGCATCAATAAGGGACAGAGGGGCGAGTGATCGTGAGTGAGGCTATGCGTGGAGCCAACTGTGGGACACCTTGAAATTATTCAGACAATGGGTTACAGACCACTGGGAATGTGGAGGTTCTTCAGTATCCAGGCAAGTTAATATCCAAACCAGGACAGGTCATCACGTCCCGCGGAAACTGCACACACCCCAAATGCCCGTACACTTGGTTCCATATGAAAACATTTTGTTCATTCATTCGTGCCGATGTGAAAAACCCTGTGCAAGCAGCGCGTTAAAACGATTAGATCTTTCTCATTTTACTCCAACCAAATTTTATGTTTGTTTTCGAGACGGGGTCTCGCTGTCACCCAGGCTGGAGTGCGGTGGCAGGATCACGGCTCAGTGGAGCCCTGATCTCCCAGTCTCACAGCCTCCCGAGTAGCTGGGACTACAGCCCTGCGCCACCACACCTGGCTAATTAGAGACGGGGTTTCCCATGTTTCCCAGGCTGGTCTGGAACTCCTGGACTCAAGAGATCCTCCGGCCTGGGCCTCCGAAAGTGGTGGGATTACAGGCGTGAGCCACCGCGCCTGGCCCCAGACACTATTCTTGACATGGGGAGACATCAGTGGACAAAATAGAGACAAAAACTCCTACCTTCAGGGAGTTACATTCTAGCAGGATAGGAAAGATAATATGCAAAAGAATAAGCAAAACAAAAACTACATTACATGCTGATATTTGTGCTATGGGAAAAAAAAATAAGCAGAGGTGTTGGAGGAATGGCTTCAGTCCTAAATAGAATGATCAGGGAAGGTAGCACGGAGAAGGTGGTATTTAAGCGAATGTCTAAAGGAGGTGAGGTAAGTAAGAGAGCACTTTCAGATCTTTCTCTGGGGCAGGGCATAATTGCATGTAACTAGTTGTGAGAGTCCAAGAATGTCAAACGCAGTACTCCATTGACTGATTCTAAAATGCAAAAACCCCAATGGAGTGATTACTTCACATTCTCCAGTAACAAATCAATAAAAATTTATTTAGTTTCCACAAGAAATTTTGTTAAGGTTATATTCAACAAATACTTTTCACTCTAGGTACCACATATACAAAAATCAGCAAGACAGACAAAACATCCATCCTCAAGGAACTCAGTAGCAGAGGAAATGGATTGTAAACCACCTCAATTCAATGTGTAAGTAACCATGATGAAAGTACACACACAAAGTGCTTGGGCTAATGTAGGTAAAGGGGTCGCTGTCACAGAGGAGCTGTAACTATCTTAGGATCTCTTTATCTATAAAAGAAACTCAGTACTAAATTTGGAGTGAAGCTATCAGGGATTCCCTAACCTCTTTATAGGTTAGAGTCTGAAGATACTAGGTTGAACCATATGAAATTGCTGATAGTGGGCAATTTTCATATGGTTCAACTTACTCTCTTGCAGAGGTAGTATGAGGATTTTGCCATGTAATGCATGTAGTAAGTGTTCAATAAATGATGGCAATTATTATATTCATTGTATAATATAGCTTTTGAAAAAGATTTAAAAGTCAATGTTTTGTAACACCTTCCAACACCGTTACATAAAATGGGCAGTGAAAGTTTCAAATTTTCCATATACTAGTTTGATTTAGTTGTGAATTTCCATGACCTAATCAGGATATGTTGTAAAAGACAGTAAATGTTAGTTTCACAGCAGGCCAAGAAATTCAGAATAAGGAGGAACAGCTTGGTTTTTAAGCCAAAAACTGAGAATTCTCCAGAACAGAATAAATTGTCAAGTTGCTACAGGGAAGAAAATTCATGTAAATCAATTTTTCATTCCCACTCATAGTTCCAATTTAGCAATTTGCACAACAGTCAGCTTTCTGTCTTCTTTCTTATTTCCCCATTAAGGGATCTTATTTCCTCTGAAAAGGAAAATAAAGTTTCTACCATCTCCAATGCCAGAAAGTAGACATCTGAAATGTGACAGAACATTTATTGATTCTGCAAACACTTATTAAGCACTTATTGTATGCCAAGAACTATGCAAGGCATTGGCAATACAAACACAAATGTCCAAAGAGCTCCATTCACTGGCATTCCTTATGCTTGGAATAATCCCCAGTTCACCCACAACTCACCTGCACATGCCTTCTTATCTAAACTTAAACAACACTTTCTCCAGAAAAGCTTCCCCTGAGTCCCCATCTCCAACTCTTTTCCCATATTTTCTTTGACTTTCTAACATTCATTAAACTTGTAATTACTCACTAGCTACCTGCCTCCCATTAGACTACAAGCTTCTAGAATCAAAGATATATCATTCTAATCACTGTCATCTCCTCAGTGCTTAACAGAAGTTCAATGTTTTTATTGAATAGATGAGAGTCCATAGCCCAGCAAATCTGGAAAGAGGAGAGAGGTATAATAAAGTCCTCTGCTTAGAAATATGTGGGCCACTGAAGAGCCAACACAAAGAGATTGTGAAAAAGACGGGTCCATTCCAGTTAAACCCGAGGCATTTCCATGTGCTGCCCGCTCTCCTGGCACTGGATACTGCTTTTGCAGGTGGAATTACCAGACTCCTGGACCACTGCCTCTCAAACTTTGAGATGCACAGTAATCACTTAGGGAATCTTACAATTCAGGCTGTAAGGTGTGGCTTCAATCCTGTATCTCCAACAGGCTTCCAAGCGATGCTGGTGCTGCCTCACCAGCCAAAAATCACACTTTGAGTAAAAAGGTCTTTAGTGACACCTTTTATCACATGAAAAGATCTGCAGTTGTCAGAACAGTTTCAGATTTTTTTTAAAGCTTCTTTTCACACCAAATCCATCTAGTGACTGACAAAAGAAATAACACTTATAAGTGTAAAATCTGGGTCTTGCTTCTAGAGACAATCCTGTTATGTACAGTTTAATCACCTTAATAGGACAGAGTAGAATCGAAGCCTTGGAATTTCCTCAGGGAAGGATTCAACTTCTCCCCAGGTTTCTGAAATGACTGCATTAGAGCAGTAGAAATATTTCAAAGTCACCCTTAATAAAAGTAATCCCTTAATATCAAACAAAATATTTTTTAGGATAAAATATTTTATTCACCGTAAAAAATATAAAGTAAATGTGAGGTATAAGGAATCATGATAAACCCTCATGTACCTGCTTAAGCAACATATTAATAACACCATTGAAGCCTCATGTGCCCCCTACCAGTGTATCCCCACAACTTTCCCTTTTCAAAATAACATCTTAAATTCTGTGTATAATTTCCATGTTCTTCTTTATAATCTTAACACACGTGTATGTATATCCAAATAATATATTGCTTAGCTTTTCATGTTTTTGAACTTCATAAATTTGGAATAAAATTTATTATTCATCTGCAATTTTTGTTTTGCTCTTTTGTTTAAGAGGGTCATCTATCTTGATGGGTGGTCATTCATTTTCACTAATACAAAAATAACATTTACATACTCCATTCTATTTTATTACTTTTTGTTGTTGTTGTTGTTGTTGTTGTTGTTGTTGAGACAGAGTCTCGCTTTGTCGCCCAGACTGGAGTGCAGTGGCCGGATCTCAGCTCACTGCAAGCTCCGCCTCCCGGGTTCACACCATTCTCCTGCCTCAGCCTCCCGAGTAGCTGGGACTACAGACGCCCGCCACCTCGCCCAGCTAGGTTTTTGTATTTTTTAGTAGAGACGGGGGAGTAGCTGGGACTACAGACGCCCGCCACCTCGCCCAGCTAGGTTTTTGTATTTTTTAGTAGAGACGGGGTTTCACCGTGTTAGCCAGGATGGTCTCGGCCTCCCAAAGTGCTGGGATTACAGGCTTGAGCCACCGCGCCTGGCCTATTTTTTTTTAATTTTATTTTGAGACAGACTCTTGCTCTGTTGCCCAGGCAGGAGTGCAGTGGTGCAATCTCAGCTCACTGCAACCTCTGCCTCCCAGGTTCAAGTGATTCTCCTGCCTCAGCCTCCCAAGTAGCTGGGATTACAGGTGTATGCCACCAGTCCCGGCTAATTTTTGTATTTTTAGTAGAGATGGGGTTTCACTATGTTGGCCAGGCTGGTCTCGAACTCCTGACCTCAAGTGATCTGCCTGCCTTGGCCTCCCATACTGCTGGGATTACAGACGTGAGCCACCGTGCCCAGTACATAATCCATTCTCTTATTGAAAGGCATTTGGGATTTTTACCTTTTTTCCTATTCAGATGCTATGAATATTCCTGTCTCCTTTGTACATGTGAAATTTTCCATAGGGTCTTAGATTATGAACAGGGGTGACAGTCAAAATATTTAAAAACTGGTAATGCACAGATCTTAGCTGGTTCTCCTTCCCCACAAACACCCTGACACAATTTCTTATGTGCAGTTGGTTTATTTTGGGAGATGATTCCAGTGAACTGGAGTGGGAGATAGCAAGCATGAAACATGAAGGAGGAAAAGCCAACCCCATGTATTGTGGGTTACTGAGATGTGTTACTGCGATGATCACTGCTGGAGGCTACTGAGGCTTGATCCTGGACAGGACTCTCCAAGAAGTTTTGAAGAGCACACTTCAAAACTGTCCACTTGAAGGACAGAAGAGGGGCATATTTACACACTGGCTTCCATCTTCACTGTGAAAAAGTTGCTCTGTTGGGTGTCAACTCTCTAGTACTTCAAGGTTTGGACATGGGTGAAAATAACAGAGAAGTTCAGACAAGTGTTCCAAGCTGACAGGCAAGGAAATCCCAGTCCAGAACAGGAGATATGATAAGGCAAAATGAGGCAAGGTGTTGTCAGCATACACTGGGGCAGCTGATTGCTCCAACAAGTGAAATAAAAAGGTGAGCCAAGATGATAGGAAGTGGGGCAAGAGGTGACCAAAACTGATATAAATAATTGAATGATAAATTAATGGAGAATAAGAGACAGCTCTTCCATACAGTAGAATTCAATTAATAAATAAAAAGGCATAATGGAAATAGAAAATCACCATTACTAGGCACTCAACACCGGAATGATTGTTGCAGGAGAGAACTATCCATGGACAGTAAACTAGTGAGTGAAAAGTGTGATGGCAAACAGTATATTTACGTGGTCTTAAAGTATCTTCTCAGAAAATTCTTATTAACTACTAAAGAAAAATAGTAACCTTGCAGTGGAAAAATCTGGGAGACACTATCTTAATCTATCTTAATCAAGTGATCAAAGTTAACATCATCGGTAATAAGACACAGGGATATAGCTTCATGATAGGATGCACTGAGAAGTCCACAATATCACTTCTGCAGTATTTTAACAAAAGTGCAAAACCTCAGTCTACACACAAGAGAAAATCAGGCCAAGCCAAACTGAGGAACATTCTATAAAATAACTGCCAGTACACTTCAAAAATGTCAAGGCCATGAAAAAAATAGACTGAGGAACTGTCTCAGATGGAAGAGACTAAGGAAACATGAAAATTAAATACAATGTGGGATCCTGGACTGAATTCTGAACCAGAAAAAGGACATCACTCAGAAAACAGGCAAAATTCAAATAAGATCTGTAGATTAGTTAAGACTGCTGTATCAATGTGAATTTCCTGGTTTAATTGTATTATGGTTATACATGATGTTAATTAGGAGAAGCTAATGAAAAGGGAACTCTGTGTACTATTTTTACAACTTTTCTGTAACTCTAAAATTGTTTCAAAACAAAAAGTTAACAATTAAATACCAGGGGATCTTATTAAAATACAGATTCTCATTCAGTAGGTCTGCGATAAGGCCTGAAATTCTGCTTTTCTAAAAAGCATCTAGGTGATGCTGAGACTGCTGGTCCCAATGACATATTTGAGTAGCAAGACTTTTTTCCCCCAGTTGTACTGAGGTATAACTGACATAGAATAAACTGTACGTAAAGTGAATAATGTGATGAATTTTGATGTATGCATACACCCATGAAACCATTGCCACAATCAAAATAATGAATTTATTATTGGGAGATGATTCTAAATAGGTTTCTCATTTCTGTTTGTATTGCAAGCAGAGACACTGTGGCTTTTGTTGTAAGACAGAGATGGTGTCTCCCTCCACAGCAGAGGGCAGTTTTGTCCAACAATCAAACATCGTGAAAATAGTTTTCCTCTGGGACAAGCATCAGACAGGTTTACTTCCAATCTATTACAAAAGACTCAGGTGTCCTGAGCCTGAGGTTCTTCAGCTTTACCATAAACCACTGCA